AAAAAAAAAAAAAAAAAATATCTGATGCACACCGATGGTAACTGGTCACATGCAACTTTCAGGATCAGTATAATGCGCTCCACAAAATTCGTTTCACAATCTGGTGCTACCCTCAATCGTACATCCCGAAACAATGGAAGATTTGTATCTTGTAATGCGGCTTTGTTCAGTATCTGAAAATTTAATTTTAAAATCATTTATCAAGTAAAAAATCTTGAAAAACTGTAGAAAAGGAGGACCAAATAATAAAGAAAATTAAGTTAAATGTCGGTAAGTAGAGAGCCGGGAGGTCCGATTCCGCTCACGGGATAACCAATCCCTCTAGGATCCATCCATCGTTTTAGGTATCACGTATACACACGCCAAAGTTAAAGCTGGCATCGTGCCAACTCCAGATTTAAGCTGATCAAGAAGCTGTGGAGAGCTGTAATTTTGCAGCGTTACTTGTCGCCCACTGATATGCCTGATGGATTAAACTGAGTTTTCTAGCCTCTCCTGCATCTCAAGTGATGGTAAATTGGTACTGGCACTTGCCAGTAAGTCAAATCGCCATAAGTTTCGCTTCTAAGCATATCTCAAAAGAGGAACTCATCGGCTGAGCATTCAAATAAGGTTGATATATTGCTCAACATCAGTCACTTCCTACGGTCCAATCGCTAACAAACGATATAGTTAGGCTTGGATACCTGAAGTGTTTGCTTGAGTATGGATGGGCGCATTTCGGTAAGCTTCTGGAGTAGGAAATCCGCAGCATACTGTTGCTGTAGTACAGCACGTTGCGCTTCAACCTGATGCGAATGGCCAACACAGAGATGGCGCAGAGTTGCCAGGGAACGTTCCTGTAAGAAAAAATCAAATCAGAAAACTACAGGAATTTGTTTTAAGATTACGATTCGGTCTTCTAACGGCCATAATTTACTACAATTTTTTCAGAAATATAATTTAGAGAACTGATTCAAAGGCACGGCAGAAGGTAGAAGGTCCAATTCAAAAGGAAAAGTGGTGGATGGAAGGAAGGATGGAGCGGCTGGGGTAAGAAGGAAAATATGATGGTAAAAACGGAGAGGAAGATGGAAGAAAGCAAAAAATGACTAGCAAAACAACACAAACACACATTAATATACTGAGAGGAACAAAGAATGATAATACGTTCGATTGAGATGTTAGTTAGCAATCCTTTCTTAAAAAATTATGCGAAATCGATGGAAAATTTGATAAAATGAGTCCCTCTGACAAAAACAATCCTTCCTATCGATAGCAACCGCATCCCAAACTAAATCAAAATTAAATCAAATAAGACCTAAAAATTACCTGAATATCTTCTACCCGTTGCTGCTGATTTGGTGTATTTGCTGGAATACTACATGAACTGATCAAAACACGATACAGTGTTGGTATAGCACCACGACTAAACAGGAACTGCTTGTTCATTTGGTTGTTTGCTAATAGATTTGATAAAATTCCAGTGCAATACAGTGTAACAATCGGATCCATTGTACCTGAAAAAAGAAGAACCGGATCTAACACACACAGTTTCGTGACTCGTTGTATCAGTGCTGATTTCCTCATCTTAGCAAAAGTGGTATTCCATGTTTCAATTTCATCAAACAAAGATAATCTGCCATTATCAAAACAAAATGAACATCTGCCTTCGAAATGCCTTAAGGAGAAAAAAGGAAACAAACATCGCTGAAAACCAGCGAAAAGCCAGCCAAAAAGCCGCCATAAAGGAAAAAGAGAAGAAAGGAGTATCTTGCCTTGAGAGGTAAATACACAGTGAATGTGCTGCCAGGCTGAGCCTGGAGCAGAAAGGCCGATGGTGTAGTGGTAACACGTTGCATCCGGACGTGAAAAGGAGTGGTTCGATTCCCTTCCTGTGCAGGGCAATTTTTGAGAAAGGGCGCCGTTCATGGCAACAAACGAACCCAAAATCTGAAGAAGTTTGGTGAGCAGTGGAGAAATGTCCATATCTTTTGTTGGCACATCAGACATGTTACGAATACATTCTAGCGTGGAGATGATCAACCGTTGACTGGCATGTTCAAGTTGCGCATGAAGAACATCATAACCGCCACATTTCACGATTGCTTGTGGATCCTGCAAAAATGTACGACTGCATAGATAAAAAATTGGCCAACGCACGGGCTGCCCGTGCGAAGATGCGTTTTTTGCAGAGTTCCCCGCA